GACTATGCTATTCCTCTCCCTACAATTATATATTTTCGCAAACACATGTTACTAAGAAAGCGTAATCCCAAATATAACATATGTTATATTTTCGCCATCATACAGCTGGAATATTGTAAAGTCTGGATTTAAACAAACCACAAACACGGGAATTATATGTTCAATGTGCCTGTGCATGTTTCATAAAAAACAAGGCGCCAACGAACAGCTGTTTTCTTAACAACTTTTATTGTTCTAACAGTATCACAGTTTCTAGGATATACAAACAGTTTCTGTTGCTTGGTTACATTGTTGTCATAGTAACTAAACTAACACCCATCTACTTTCTCTCTAACATGTATTCCCTAATACATTCCACAACATGCATTTTATTTCATTCAGTGTACAACATTACAATCAAAGTGCTATATACACCCTATGTAATAGCCAGTTTGTTTACAAAAGAGTATGAAAGCTTTACTAACAAACCATAAAGCGCACTCCCGAACCACGTAATGTTTTCTTCTTCTAAATGTGCGTATTATGTATAGTGCCGTGGATACTTTCATTAAACACCACTACATAGGCATCACACTGAAATCATCTGAATTTCACACAATCAAAATGAAATTGTATGTAGCCGAGCTCGTGTTACAGAAGGAAAACGATTCCGTCGTACATATAACAGAACATAAATAAAATGCTTTACAAAGAACGCAGTTGAACAACAGGCAACTGCATGAAGCGTACCTCAGAGAAGGTCACATAACATAAACAATACAGATTTACTCATGGTAACCATGTGACAACATACCTCGCACTTATTAATATGTATATGAAGACGTACTGATTTCAGAAATCGTCTAATAGTCAAGTTAATGTTCCGGTATTGGTTTCTTCGCATATCCTTACAACTGAAGTCACAGGGAGCTAATTAAAATACCTCAATATGCTCCGGGCAGTTGTTAACTCCATTCTACATGCATGTTTGATGCCAAGGATTGAACGTATTTATATGGAGGCTCCTATATATTTGACAATGTCTTAATCATTTATAAGCAGTATTGTTAAACAGGTATGTAAAGTCACATACATGGACATTATATATGCCTTTCTATTATATTTCTCATCATATCTAAAACCAAATATGAACGAATTAAGGACTATTATCAGACAACTGGCAAGCATATGAAAATAATAATCAATATTTCCTTTGCTGATAACCGTTACATAGTACAGAGCGATGTTAAATGTTTGATGACTGGTGGCTGAAGGACACATGCCGTTTATAGTTGCAATGCGCACACATGAGATCTTAAACGATGGTAAACGATGTACGATATAATAAAGCATACGACTTTATGGATAACAACTTCTTGATTAGTGTATAGAACGACGTTTTGATAGAGATTCTTATACCGTTTTCAAGCTAAACGTGACTAGAACGAAGTGATGACATATGTATGCATATATACATAGAATGATGGCTACGAGACCAGGTAGGGAGTAAGAACATCAAATAGCAAGGGTCATAAAGCCCATAAACCAATATATGTTGTTCTTACGCATCACCTGATCTAATTATGTGCCACTTGTTACTCAATTACATGCGGTTGTTAATGTTAATCGTATGTTCGTCACAACATAGTATGTATACTGAGGGAATAAAATATGGGATCACATGAAAGCACAGGTGTTCCTTTATATTTTTCCAAGGTCTCTTCACAAGCTTTGTATCGCTTGTAAGGAAACCTGGAACAAAATAAAAGAACATTTGTGCTTTCATGTGATCACTTTTTTTTTCCTCAGTATATACTCTTCTCATCACTTAGTTGTAGTCACTTTGAGGTTAAAAACGGTGTAAAAATATCCACCAAAACGTCACACTGTGCAATATATAACGAACCGATATCCATAAAGCCGTATGATTCAGTATTGAGTCACCAACGTCTACGATATGCGACATGATATACGACATCGTGTCAGATCAACGTTGAAAGAAAGCCCGAAGTGAGCCGATCTCAAGATGTTCCACACATAGTGAAAACCACGAGCAGGGGTATGAGGCTTATAAACGAACGGTCATAACAATGGATCAAAGAGAGCTAGGGTTCCAACCAACGTCACAGCATTTGGTGCAAGAATAGGACCACGCTGGAACAATATTAAACACTGCCATACTTTGTTTGCATATTGACAAACCTTCACAATGATTGTTGCAAACTAAGTGCATTCACTACTCTAGACATCTGTGTGCATTTCAATAAGTACTGACACGAAATTATCATCAACTATCACCATTTCAGTTGAACAGTTCTTTTATGATGGAAGATTTACAGACATAGTATACATACAATAGTATACAGTCAAACCCCGTTGTGTCGAACTCGACAGCACTAAGGGAATAGTTCGACTTATCCGAGTGTTCGAAACATCCGTCAGCATAGAAATGACCAAGTACCAACACGATCAAAGTGCTTACAACATCGTTTTTCTACGACCGAGAGATGAGTTCGACACAACCGAAAATTCGGCTCAACCGAGTTCAAGACATTGGGGTTCGACTGCACCTACATTTACTACAAAATCATGAAACTGACGCAAAGTATCATATAATTAAATGTACTCCAGGCAAAATCTAACCAACCCTGCAACTGATCCCAGGTGTACTGTCTGCAGAGTGGACAGGAATAATGAATATTCTAGCATGTTGTCCTACACGGTGGGAGTAAAAGGCTAGAAGAACTAAGGCACGTAACAAAACTCTACATGTATGTAAATACAGTCCATCACATACGCAAGCTTCATCACAATATGAATCAACAACAAGGTATATATGTTTACAAAGTCCCCGTTTTTCTCACTCGTATAAAATTCAACAGACACCATCAAACACAAACACACTATACATCATATACAGACATTAACATCATATACAGACATTAACATCATATGCAGACATTAACATCATATACAGACATTAACATCATATACAGACATTAACATCATGTACAGACATTAACATCATGTACAGACATTAACATCATGTACAGACATTAACATCATGTACAGACATTAACATCGTGAACAAACTTCAACTTTATGAACAAACATCTACATTAACTGCATCACGTATGTAAGTGTTCTCTGCAGCTTAACTATCCAAGGGACTGACCAGTCTGGATTTTAAATTGAATAAAAAAAAATTCAAACTTGCACTTTAAACATTACTTTTTAAATTTGATCCTATAACCATCAGCTTTGAATGACTACGTGAATTCATTAGAAATGCATATACTACCCATCGAAAGTTTAGACTCACTTAAAGCACTCACTATATGCTATGAATATATATGTGGTTACATCGAAGATGAATTTCTCCACTTCTGGGGGACCCAACTGCAAAATTTATGCAGATGAATTGCACGAGGATCATGTGTCAAATTGCTGAAAAGCATGTGCAAATAAATATCGCGTATGGGAACAGCTGCGTTTTGGTGTGAAGTTTTGTTAAGAATTCACCAATATTCACTAAGTTTCATCAATTATTGAACTCGTGACAATAATCTTTTAACGTTACGAATTCGTTTTACAATACATCAGTCCATGAGTAAACAGCACCTTCAAACAGTATGGAATATTTTTCAAAATCTAGTTTAGAACAGTTGCCTGGAGTAGGTGGCTATGTTACAGCAGATTGTGAAATCAGTCATTTCGTGAAATGACTAAACATTTCAGTCATTTCGTGAAATAACTAAGAGGGTCAGCCATTCAACTATTCCTACTGCTCGTTCTCTTTCTTCCTGGGTTAACCTTGGCATTCTCTCTGTGTGACTTTATGTACACTGATATTGCAGTATTGGACAGGCCATTTATACTGATCTTTCGCACGATCTTTCCCATGTATCCGACTAAGACATGTGTTTTTGTTTCGGGGCCACAAAATGCGTTTTGGCGATTTGTTAGGAGCATCAAGAACATTGGCAATCGTTATCAAGCACATTTACATCAAATTTGATGGAAACGTCCAAACCTATTTATATAGCCAATAGCGAAATGACTGATCCTCTTAGTCATTTCAGGAAATGACTGAAACTTTTAGTCATTTCACGAAATGGCTGATTTCACAATCTGACTGTAACAGCTACATTTACACTAGTGAGTCTAAACATTTAATGGGCAGTATACGTTATCGCTATACAGTAATCACATTCAATGCATCAACTCTTTCCACCAATAGAGAACTATGACACGGATTGCAGGAGAAACATCACCGATGTTACGTGCCCGCCCATTGGTCCTGTCACTCTCCTGTTTCCCTCCGGTTTGAACCAGGCCTTGATGTGATTGGTCGGTCATTACCACAATGCCCATCGCCGGTTACTGACGAACGTAAAGTATTGAAAGCCATGAAGTATTGACGATTATAAATTATAGAAGAATTCCCTTTTTTATTCCAGACATGTTTATCGTTCTCCCTCCATCACCGACAAGATACGCGTGTTATGTACAATGTATTGCTAGTATACGTGTTTTACTACTTCTTGACGCAGTTTCTAACATATATACATACGCACATTTACATAAATGTTTATAAGCATAAGTTCGTCTCGCAATTTCACTTGTAGTGATCTTCGTCTATTTAAATTATAAATTTCACTTAAGGAACCGACCATACAAAATTGCTTTGGGAAAAGGAGTGCTTAAAGACAGAATACTACCAGTCACTACTTCAAACATGCAATTCCATTTGTTTAAGTAGACGCAGAAACGTATATTACATAACATTCAAAATGTCGTGTAACTCTACCTGTCTACTCTGGGCAACGTTGTACTTACCTGTATTTTCTACTAACCATTCCAAATGTCCAACAACCTGTCTTCTGTGAGGCGTGAGGCAACATTATTTTTTCCTGTATTTTCTACTAACAATTCAAAATGTCCAGCACCCCTACCTGTCTTCTCTGGGACGTGAGGCAACATTATTTTCTCCTAACAATTCAAAATGTCCAGCACCTCTACCTGTCTTTTCTGGGACGTGAGGCAACATTATCTTTTCCTGTATTTTCTACTAACAATTCAAAATGTCCAGCATCTCTACCTGTCTTCTCTGGGACGTGAAATCCTGTATTTTCTACTAACAATTCAAAATGTCCAGCATCTCTACCTGTTTTCTCTGGGACGTGAGGCAACATTATTGTTTCCTGTACTTTCTCCTAGTCTCATTGCGTCCCCGTCCCAGAAGTTTCAACGCCCCTAACATGAATAAATAAGTATCATGTTTTCTACTTAAAATTCGTGGAATTACATGAGCGACAGTTGAAAGGGAGACGTTTTTGTCTGTGTATACGGAGTGTGATTTGAAAAGGAAACACGAGAGATTCAATACATTATTAGGAAACACGCCGGGTCCGTGATATTAGTATGAAACACGCGGGATCTGCAATATTGGTAGGAAACAGGATTTTAGTTGGGAACTCTTTAAATCCAGGATATTGTTTGAACACACTGTGGATCTGATATTTAACCAGGAAATGGAGAATCTGAAACATTAGTAGGAAACAATGATCTGTAAGTAATCGGAAACACGATGGATCATAGATATATGAGGTAAACAGAGGATTGTGGATACTTCTTGGAAGCAGTGTTGATTAAGAATTAATGTAATCAGGGTAGAGGCTGGTCTGCCGAATCAATGGCAAGAAGTCGTTCGTACTTCACCTCACCTTGGCTCGTCAATTAATCAAATAATATGGGACAATGGATGTCTGTGGTGGTATTTGGAGTTAAGATTAGGGGTATAGATGTTAAGGTCCAGGATATCAGGATCATCTGGGAATCTGGGAATCAGCGAAAGAACCAAGTGAAAGATGCTTGGGCTACCAAATGTAGAAATATCTTCATGCTGAGTAACATACGACACGTCAGCTACTATGTCAGCTACTACACACAGTTTGCTTATAAAACAGTGTACAAAATAATACAAATACAGAGGTTATTTGTACACTCACATTTGTACAGTATACTACAGTATATACTTCAACATACTTACAGAGCAACACAGTTTCTCTAATACACGTTTTATACATCTTCCATTTTCTACTTGTCTACAAACACTATCATGCGCGTAGGTTTATACAAAACCTGACAACCTTTCGAATGAGGGTTTGTCGGGAAAAGTCCTTGCCATAGTAAAGGAACAATTATATGTCTTTAAATCCCCTGATGGTGTTTTCAGACACATAGGAACCTTTAACAAAACCGGTGTATATCAGATGCATGGTAGCGTAAACATATGACGTCATCACATTGTGTGCATTATGACGTCTCACATGGTGTGCACTATGACATCACTACTCAAAGGTACACAGGGATTCCAGCTTCGCTCAGGTGTTTTGGTGATTCCATTGGCCATATCATTTGCTTGACTCTCTGAAAAAGGAGAAATTGGGATTTGACTTTTTAAAATGAAAAATCCACTGCAAGTGATTCCATGATAACAGATGTGCTAAGCAAACACTATTTTGACCTCCATATTTTAAGAATTAACCTTAAAGAATTAAGCCACGCACAGTTAGGTAAATACTATTAACTGACTGTCTGAACATGTTAAAGTGTTGTAAAATTATTGTCCTACAGAGAGGGCATGTAAGTCCTGAAACATTCAAAGTATTATTCATCTAACCACGGTTTTAATCGAAGAAAATGTGTTCTCTTCATTTATGGTTAGATTTGTCCCCAATCGCTAAAATCTGAAGGGATGGTGTAAATCCAGCTTGGGTCCATACAGGTAGCAAAAACACTGTAAGTCCCCATGGTCCCTGGTATAGTGATCGACCTTCAGTTGCTGGCGATCAATAGCCCGTTTTTATACTGCACTGTTCTCTATTGTGATATACATTTTAAGTTAAGTTAAACGTGAAGTTTAAAGCGCTGGTTTTAAATCTCTTACTGTGACATTCTAGTTGTTTTAACGTCCTTTGGCGACAGACTTTATCATATAATTCTTAACATATGACCTATTCTAGTCACGATATGGATGCAATATTGCCGATGTGACTTTAATTTTTAACTCACTCACTCACTCCTTGAACATAACACGGGCGAAGATCGTCTAGCATTACTGCGCTACACGATATAAGGGATTTTGTCTCGTTGTCTGCACTTGTTTGTGTTAAATATTGATGATGAAATATTGATAATTACACCTAACTGTTTCCATAGATACTGTATAATTACGAATCCCATGTGTCAATAGCACAGTGTGATGGTTTTTACGAGCCGACCGTGATTAAGTATCACCAGACCTTCTGTAAGTTGTGTACAAAAACTTACAGATCATAAAATCTTTTCTCAATCTACTGTCACGTTGCCTATTGCACTGTAGGGGGCTTCCAAACTCATCTTGTAAGAGACCCATTAAGATCCGGGTTATTGGTCTTCGGTACTTAGGTAACCCATGCTTGTCCCCTTATACTGATTAGCTATCTTGGTATATACGTAAGAGCATCCCCAACCCCCGCGGTTCAAGTGTTAGTCTGTGTCACAGATGCTCCCTGCAGTGCTAAAGGCCCAAATGAAGCAAGTCTCGATTTCCCCAGGTTTCCAAACTCTGTCGGCATATTCTATCACTGACATGATTGCCAGTGCTTTGGCACTGTTGCCATCGAGATTGGTGGCACAAGGGACGTAACTCTCCACTTAAACTACACGCTGGCCGTTGACAAGACGCCGATATTTTACAGGCGCTTTACTCACCTCTGAGAATGATCCTGTTGTAGTGACGGCGTGTATAATGAAGTATATCAATATACACGCGATGGATGAAGATACTATCAGCCAGCCTACTGTAAGAGACCAGTAGGGGTAGGTGTAGGTTCCGTAGGAGGGTTGAGGGGGGTTATACAACGACAGGATGAACAGGGACTGGAAAGGAAAAAATAAATATGTTTTACATTTTCTGCCAATACTAGTACATATTAGAACAATACCTCATGGTTCCTGTTTTGTAACTTTACCACGACAGTCATGCCCTGAAAACACAAACGAAATATGGTTTCCCTATCTATAACGGTCACTGAGAAAATCTTTTCCAATTGGGGATAACTTGCACCAAGTCAAGAAACGCATGACAAGGGCCATAACTCTGTAACAAATTGTAACATGGTTTCCGTAACTCCATCAAGGCATTCATGTCCTGAAAATACATACCAAATTTGGTTTCCCTATCTATAACGGATTTTGAGAAAATCTCCATCATCTCGAACAGACCGAAGAAAGGACGGACGGAAGGAGCTCAACCCAATATCCCCTCACTTCGTGGCGGGGGATAATAAATTTACGCACACCCACACGCACACGCACACGCACGCGCATAAATCATCAAAACGTCGTAGAACTATACGGGTTGCATGGAGTTTTTGTTTTAATGTTTGTAGGTTATATTTTTTCACTGGTGTGAGTGAGTTCATCTTACACCGCTTTCCAGCAACATCACGGCGGGGTACACCAGAAATGGGCTTAACATATTGTACCCATGTGGGGAATCGAACTCGGGTCTTCGGCGTGACGAGCGAACGCTTTAACCACAAGGCTACACCACCGCCCTTTTACTGGTTGTGAATCCCAGCGTACATAGCAAGAGTTCAGACCAGACAATCCAGTGATGGACATCTTGAGGTTAACTGTATTTGATTTATTTCTTTTTTCCTAAAGATAAATGTTTTGTAGGCAGAAAGGCATATCTGTACTCTCTCCTGTAAATACCACAGACGCACACGCAAAGACGCACACGTACCAGCAAGAAAACAGGACTGATAAACGTCCACGTGATGCGCCAAAAGGGCCTTGGGGGAGCACCAAGCATAGCCTCGATATCTTGACTGAACCGTTTTGTACCTGGAACATGAATGTATAGTGAGTGAATGAGTACGGTTTTATGGGGCTTTTCGCTGTTTCCAGCGCCATCGTGGTTGGGGACACAATAAGTGAGCTTCAAACGTTGTACCCATAAGGATGTTGGAGATCAAACCTTCGGCGTAGCGAGCCGACGCTTTATTCCAATATCAGGCTCTCAGTTGACAACTTGACATAGTGAGTGAGTGAGTTTAGTTTTACGCCGCACTCAGCAATATTCCTGCTATATGGCGGCGGTCTGTAAATAATCGAGTCTGGACTAGACAATCCAGTGATCAGCAGCATGAGCATCGATCTACTCAAATTGAATGCGATGACATGTGTCAGCCAAGTCAGCGAGCCTGACCACCCGATCCCATTAGTCACCTCTTACGACAAGCATGGGTTACTGAAGATCAATTCTAACCCGGATCTTCAAGGGTCCAGTTGACATAGAAGATTTGTTTGAATTCTTAGCATAGTCTTAGTATACATGTTGTGGGCCAGGGGGCTTTGAGCTGAACTCTGAATATGGATTAAAAGCTGACCGTATATCCAGGAGACGGCTGCCGCTTCGAGGAAGACAACAAGCAGGATCGAGATGGGAGCTCCGTATGTGTCGAACAGCTGGATGACGTAGATTCCTCCCTGAATAGAAAGTACAATAATTCACTGGATTCACTAGAATCCACTGCACAATAGTTTCAAAAATAATATGGAATAATATGTTTAAGGGTTCGGATTAACAAGTGTTGTATTTGTAATTTAGGTACATCACGACGTGTCAGTAAGTGAGTGAGTGGGTTTAGTTTTACGTCGCTTTTAGCAATATTCCAGCAACATCACGGCGGGGGACACCAGAAATAGGCTTCACACATTGTACTCATGTGGGGAATCAAACCCGGGTCTTCAGCAAGATGAGCGAACACTTTAACCACTAGGCTACCCCACCGCCCCCAGCTATGGACGTCTGTGGGCACTCTAGTCTGGATCAGACCAAACAGAAATTGACACCATGAGCACCGATCTATGCAGAATGGGCTTCACACAGTGTATCCATGTGCAGTGTTTGCAATACTTTAATTCGCCAGTTGGCCATCAGGGCCTGCTGCTGCCTGCAGGCCTTAAAATCTACCCTGAATGAAATATGCAGGACCATTTTGTTCAAATCAAACCAATAAAAACAAAATAGACTATATTATATAAAGTTTCCCATTGTTTCAATTAGCGAAGCCTATGACGCTGAGAGAAGTTTTCATTGGTGAAAGATTGGCGTTGACATTCCTGCGCGCAAAGCGCTGAAATATCAGAAGGTGAACCTGTTAGTATCGTAACATGATGGATCATGGATGATTCCCGAACGTTGATAAAGAAAAACAATATGGGAAAGATTCCAGTTGAAAAAAACAAACATTGACAGATAATTAACTGAAGGCCACATGGCCAAGCAAATATTTGAAACTGCCGGCCCGATACAATAACAACCGGCGCTGGGCCTCCGGGCCGGCGATTATTTCGAACGCTGCCCATGTGGGTAATCGAACCCGGGTCTTATGCGTGACGAGCCAACGCTTTAACCAGTATACTAGTACCGCCCTCGACGTGTCAAACTGATGAGGAAGGAGCGGCCGATATATAACACTTTGCATCTCCAAAGCTGCCTTTCGTAAATCAGTCCGCGATCTGTAAATAAATGAGTCTGGGCCAGAAAATCCAGTGATCAACAACATGAGCATCAATGTTAGCAGTTGTCAACCACGTCAGCGAGCCCGTTTGTCGCCTCTTACGACAAGCATGGGTTACTGAAGACCATACCCGTGAACATCCGGGTTAGAATATTGATCTTCAGTAACCCATGATGTCGTAAGGGGCGACTAACGGGATCGGGTGGTCAGGCTCGCTGTCTTGGTTGACCCATGTCATCGGTTCCCATTTGCTCATGCCGTTGATCACTGGATTGTCTGGTAAAGCCTCGATTATTTACAGACCGCCGCCATATAGCAGGAATATCGTTGAGTGCGGCGTAAAACTAAACTCACTCACTCACTACCAATTCTAACCCGGATCTATTTCAACAATAATTGTGAATAGGTTCAGTGTGTGTGATTGCGGTGGTAGCTGAAGGTGTTGTCGGTGATGGCGGTGGACAATCACACTTACGTATGTGGTGGTGACAAGCCCGCCGAGGAAGCAGAAGAAGATTAGACCAGCCACGAAGAACTCTCGCCTCTTCCTCAACATGGGCCATTCGTCCAGGATACCAGTGATGATGGCCTCCAGGCCTCCAAACTGTAAATACACAAGTGCACATGTACTGAAATACTGCCATACACAACGTGGAAAACTTGTTTATAGCCGTCGTTTTATTCGATTATAATTCCAAAAAGATTTTTCTTTGTTCGCCAGTTAACGTCGCCCTTAGCTACAATTTCCATTTTTATGTTATGTTTGTTCTTGTTTTACGCCGCACTCAGCAATATTACAGCACCATGGCTGCTGTCTGTAAATAATCGAGTTTAGACTAGACAATCCTATGATCAACAGCATGAACATCGATCTACGCAATTTTGGATACAATGATATGCGTCAAATATTCTATATTTTTAAGATGTAAAATCAACAGTCCATGATTGTTAACTTTAACTTTAACTTCTTTTTTATTTATTTTATGTTGTAAGATAATTATGTAAGGTGTCCATTCTCGAAGTAGTCATAATGTCCCATTGGAAACAATAGTAATATCGTATCTTATCTTATCTCTTCTTATCTTGCCCGAACAACTTTGTGGTTTATACATACCACGGTGTCGACTATTTACGTACCGTGGTATCGAGTCCAAGCGTGATCAACATGAAGAAAAATATAATGGCCCAGAAGGACGAGCCCTCGATTGTCGCTATGGCTTCAGGATATACAATAAAGATCAAGCCTACATCTGTAAAAACAAGGAGGTATATTAACATCAATATCATTGGAAATCTGGATCGCCAGTGCTTATGAGGGGAAATTTACAACACAATTTAACTTCAAACTATACTCAACACAAAAAGTTAAGGACAAACCCAATATTCCATTTATCCATCATAATAGGAACTATTAAGTACTTTGATATTGAAAAATGAGGTGGTCCTTAATTTGATTTGTTGAGTATATTTAGAAAGAAAATGTTTTTGAGACAGAAAACAGCGTAACAGCTAAATCGGATAGACTAACGCTTAGTCTCTGAATATATATATATAATTTTGATTGTAACAAATAAGCCCATTTAAATTGAAAAGGAACCCCAGGGATACAGACATTCTTAGGAAATCTATACTTGCTTCATTTAGGGCTTTAGCATTGCAGAGAGGGCTAGGCTGTACGGAATATAATATGGTTCAGGGACTGTGAGACAGACTACTTAATCGGAATATGAGGTAAAGCATTCAGAATCGACATCATGCGCTCACTGTCACAAGGGCTTGTCAGTTACACAGCCTTGTTGAATAACCAACATAAACTGATAACAGAAAGAATAAAGGAAAAAGAAAAGAGTTGCGTCCCCTTGGAGAGCCAGAAGCCTATAATCTTGGGTTCGAACTCCGTTCTCCCTGATAATGATACACACCAGTGTGGTAAACCTCGAATGCTTACATCAGTTCGGGCCTCCACTTAGGTCACAAGCCGTGATATAACTCATGTCTGAAATACTGTTCCAAGTAGTAGTGTACCAAACTCAAACATTCCCTGTATTCATAAAATATAGACATTAATGTTCACGACAGATCCTTCGATGAGCTTACTTCCAATATACATGCATATTTATATTTACAAAATTTGTTTGACATTTGCATTTTCCCATGTCAGGGTCTGTGTATGATTTCCCTTGTAACATATTTAAACAATGAGTGAGTGAGTGAGTGAGGTTAGATTTACGCAGCTTAAAGCAACATTCCAGCAATATTACAGCGGGGAACACCACAAATGGGCTTCACACGTGGTAGCCATGTGGAGAATCGAACCCGGGTCTTCACCGCGACGAGCGCACTTTTGAAAATGAATAATTAGCTATTGTCTTTTGTAAAATGGCTGACAGAATTTAAATATCTAAGAAAGGAAACAAACCTCTCGAGATTATTGCAAATAGTGTAAGTACATTTATTTAGATGTCAATATTTCAAGAATTTACGACAGTTCACCGGGAAAAAGAAGGCCGGCCTATACTCTCACCTGCTCGTGCCACCTTGTCTATGTCCCTGTTCTGAGTGTGGGCCATATATCCAAGGACAGAGAATACAGCGAACCCTGCCATGAAGCTTGTAAAACAGTTCACAGCGCTCGTTATCAAGGCGTCTCTACAAGGAAATATAAATATCAGAAAACAACACATGCAATCCATAAATACACCTAATTATAATCAACTCCGAATCTAAGGACAATAAGCCAATCGAAATATTGGTTAGGATACATCGATTTTATGATTAGTGTTTCCGCTGGGCATTTTAGTCCTTTTATTTTGCACCCTGCCCTTTTTATTTTTGCGCACTATCCTTTTTTATTTTGAACCCTGCCCTTTTTATTTTGCGCACTGTTCTTTTTATTTTGCACCCTTGCCCTTTTTATTTTGCGCACTGTCCTTTTTATTTTGCACCCTGCCCTATTTATTTTGCACCCTGCGCTTCTGACAAAGTTGTTGTTAAAAGCCTGTCCAGGAAGAACAGAAGAATATGAGACTGGGCACTTTCATAGTGTTGTTCAAAACTTTTCTGTATAAAGAATACAATGACTGAAATCAAAACTTGTTTGCTTTCATTTATGTTGAAGTTAGGTGAAATAGCTGTGTCCTTTGAGCCTTTCAGAATGATATGCGTAGACAATTTGATACTTGGATATCAGTCATTGCATGTCCCTTTTGGAATATGGGTGCCCCTTTTGAAATTCTGTCGCCCTCCCCTTTTTGGATCCTGGGTGAAAACTCTTGAACAATCATCCATCAAATATTTGTTAGCTGGAGATTACTGTGCACTTTCATAGTGTTGTTCAAAATATTTCTGTATAAAGACTATAGCTTACCATGTTTAATCTATTCAAATCAAAGAGCGCATAACACAGACATGGAACTACTGTCCATAACTCGAGAAATTGTGATTCCGAAGTTGACAATTTGACAGTAGATGACAATAGATGGTAATATTTTCAGACTGTGACAATAATTCATAGATTCAAACACCCCATCAGGCAAGTGATTAGCAACTAGAGTGGAATGCTTCAACAGCTGGTATTAAATATTGTTATGTGTTAGTATACACTGAGGTTTGCTTCTGATGATTGCAAGTGGCAGCACATCAAACAGTCATAGTCTGTCCACTGAACTGGTGACACATCGTGATGCTTCCACTGCAGCTGGTAAAATTGAGTGATCTCCCTTAGATATCGTTTATGGTCCAATGTCGGTCCAAGGGCTTCGTTGTTTCGTTAACCCTGACGTAGGTAGTCTCATTTGGGGAGCCTGATTACAGGATTACTTACAGGCTTGTTTACGATTTTCAACGCTCGTTTGAGATGTTCTCCAATATATGTACGTCTGGCTGTACCAAAATAAAAACGAACGAAGATCGACTCGACCCCTTCGAAGATCTGACTTGCGAATTATCTTGCTTTTCTAATGCATTCCACTTCTGAATGCACTTCAAAGATTTATCTCGCTATCGGAAAACACCGACCTTTCTGCCTGCCTCCATCACCGTTTCCTTGATTCGAGCATATGTCATTCTCAAGACAAGTTTCTGACAAGTTCTGAACATTCGTGAGTGCACTGATCGTTGTATACATGCATGCTATTTATCGCTTCTGCCTCACATTTGACATAGCCTGTCATGTTTGCGATCCAAATCCGGTTTGTTTCAATATAATTCATTACTTTTTTATAGCTCTTGGGTAAAGAGATTGTCAAATCCAACCATGGGTGCAATGCGTGAAACTAGTTTCTGCTGAACACCCCTTTCCTGGACTGCTTGAAACTACGACACACCGCACTCAGCTATATTCCAGCTATATAGTGAGTGAGTTACGTTTTACGCCGCTTTTAGCAATATTCCAGCAATATCACGACGTAATGTTGCTGAAATATTGCTAAAAAGTGACGTAAGACCATCCTCACTCACACCACTCATAGCTTGCTGCAGGCCTCTTCTAACCCGGTTGCTGACGGATGTGTGTGATTAGAATTATACAATAGACGACAAAAAAATCGTTACCGTCCTACCTTTATAAATTTAGATATTTTAGAAGGTTTTAGTTAACAAGAAAGCTTAACAACACAGCTTTATGCAAATCGCAAATCATGTTTAGGAACATCTTCAATTATCTTTGTTAACATTTTTGCTTGCAAAGTAACATTTTTCCATTTTCTGTTTACACATAGCAATATCAGTCGCCAAAACGCAGCAATATTCAAACGGTATTTACATCCATTTCACATGCAGAATGATTCTATAGGGTAAAGAGAGCCTAGAAGACATGATATGATACACGAGTATGAGAAATATGCCACGATTAACAGCTGAAGGGAGAGAAAGAGCCATTGGGATGGTGCAGATGGGGTCGACATACAATGCTGTTGCCAACCCCCACGGATGCCACCGTATCACGGTCATAAGACTTATTCAGGGCTTAAGACAGACTGGGGTCACCGTAGACAGACCAAGCAGTGGACGTCCACGCATCACAACGCCAGCTGAAGATAGGTACCTCCGTCCGTAAGGAAGGAGGGTAACGTTTCTTTTGGCGTTTAGTGTATTTCAGTTGCATGTGGTTAAGAATGAAAATAATGAAGTCTTACTTGTAGCAGTTATTGTTGAACTTGTTGTAGCTAGACAAGGCTAGCAGTACTCCAAACCCTGGTCCTAGGGAAAAGAAGATCTGCGACGCTGCGTCCACCCAAACCTGAAGTAGAACCATGTCTTGAAACAAAGTACATTGTACAGCTCTGTGAACACAAAATCGATGATTCTCTCAATGAACATTCCTTATTTATTCTTATGAACAAACATTTTATAATTTGTCGGCGTTGGTGTCGCTAAGTCCTTCAGATTCCCTTAGGTCAAAGCGTTCGCTCGTCCCGGGTTCGATTCCCCACATCGGTTCAACGTGTCTCACCGTAATATTGCTGGAATATTGCTAAAAGCGGCGTAAAACTAAACTCACTCACTCACTCACGTTTAGCCTCGCAGAAGACCTGGCCACTGTGGTTCGAATGCCGATAGAAGTATTTGACATGAATTTCTCTTGTCAATAGCAGTTAAGCAGTATGTTATTGAATGTCCAGCTCAAGCAATATTACGTCAGGATCTTGGAATACGTGTTCTTAACACAACCAAAACATTTTACAAGTGACTATTCTCGAGGATGAATTTAGTGAGTGAGCGAGCGAGTATGGTTTTACGCCGCTTTCAGCAATGTTCCAGCACTATCACGGCGGGGGGACACCAGAAATGGGCTTCACACATTCGTGACATTGTAACCATGTGGGGAATCGCACCTGGGTCTTCAACGTGATGAGCGGACGCTTTAACCACTGGTCTACCCCACTCCCCACTCGAAACACCACCAACTTAGTGTCCAAAACACAATTATGATGCCTGAATGGTATGCATCACCATCGAATAACTGTTTCTTCTTTGTTGAAAAGCGGTGGAGTTGCCTTGTATTTAAAGCCTTTGCTCGTCGCAAAGACCCGGGTTCGATTCCCCACAGTGTGTGAAGCCTATTTCTGGTGTCCCCTGCCGTGATATTGCTGGAATATTGCTGAAAGCGGCGGAAAACCATACTCACTCACCTCTTGCTTGTTTCAATTTTAGCCACGATGAAACATTGATGTTTACTTACTTTTGCTCTTTGTGTAAATACGAAACATGATAATCAATGGTGTGTGTGTGTGTGTGTGTGTGTGTGTGTGTGTGTGTGTGTGTGTGTGTGTGTGTGTGTGTGTGTGTGTGTGTGTGTGTGTGTGTGTGTGTGTGTGTGTGTGTGTGTGTGTGTGTTTTCACTGTCATGTTCGCAATATTTTCCACTATGCACGTGTAAGGATATATCCCAGACGTTTGTATTGTGTACATTTGAGGAGTTTTCGCTCTCGTCATTTCGAAAAATTCTGAATATGCAAATATATATTATACTGGTCTTATCTCGCATTCTATCTATGCATTAAAACCACAAAATGGTGGATATTTCAACAACGCGAGAATGTCCCTTACAGTATTGCTGAAGCCGCCACACACTGTTTCTAACCTGAGATGGTGTTTACATGTTTAGAAATGTCTGAGACGTACTGGATGTCTTCTACGCTATGGGCATTAACAGCGGTTGGCCATTGGTGTCCATCTTGAGTTCACCTTCTTTTGGGGTTTGAACAGTTCAGATCACTTGAGTATTGGGTATACTGATTTTCACCTCAGGGTGAATGGTTCAACTTAGAATCATACAAAGAGCTGAGAGTGTCATTTTCCACGTGAGTAAGTTTATAAAAGTACTGCACGACCGGTTCTATAAAGCCAGTGGCGGTCTGCTAGAAGTATTATTGTAAAGATTCCTGACTGGAGGCAGTGTTATTTTCTTGCTTCCAGTTTTGATTGAAGTTGCTTCTCGTACGGATTTGAGACTCTGAATACCACGGAGTGAGTGAGTATGGCTTTAAGCCGCTTTCAGCAATATTCCAGCAATGTCACGGCGGGGAACACCAGCAATGGGCTTCACTCATTGTACCCATGTCGGGAATCGAAGCCGGGCCTTCGGCGTGACGAGCCAACGCTTTAACCACAAGGCTACCCCATGGTCCCTGTGAATACCAACCTATCAAAGGAATTTGCGAGGGGCGAATGTGGTCTTTGCAGAATTACGTCCCGTAGGTACACCAGGAACCCGTGATTATGTCAAATCACTCGGCCTGATTGCGGTACAGCTTTGTGGGACTTAATCCGTGGATTTCAACGGAGTACTTGGACGTTGGGGCTTGATTCCGGTGCCGGCTGGATTAACGCGCTTCCACTGTATAACATTTTATAGTTATCTGATGGTCTTGAACACGGTCTCTTACATTGCGCTTGATTCCACCGCCTTCCATGCCGGCTGGATTACCGGAGTTTCACTGTATAACATTTTATAGTTATGTGATGGTCTTGAACACGGTCCTTTACCTTGCACTGGACTCCACCGCCCTCGGTGCCAGATGGATTAATATTGGTCCTTGTATAATGTGATATAGTTACCTGATGGTCTTTAAGACGATCCCACTGAGGTGTGAGATAGTATCTGATCCCGGCAAATGCTCCCGGTAGGGTACATCCCCTTATCAGGAGGATTAGAAGTACGATGTAGGGCAGGGTTGCTGTAACCCACACGGCCTGCAAACAGAGTGAGTGAGTTTAGTTTTACGCCGCACTCAGCAATATTCCAGCTATATGGCGGCGGTCTGTACATAATCGGATCTTGTCCAGACAATCCAGGGATCATCAGAATGAGCATCGATCTACGTAATTGGGATACGATGACATGTGCCAACCCAGTCAGCAAACCTGACCATCCGATCCAGTTAGTCGCCTCTTACGACAAGTATTGGTTGCTGAAGATCAATTCTAACCCGGATCTTCACGGGTCCCTGCAAACAGAGGAGGGCGCGAATGGTCAGAGAAAACGAATCCGGTATATATTCCAGTTCAAGTAATACTTGATTAAATTATTCTCTGAAACGGGTTTTATTTAAAACTAATATTTCAAATCGTTGTGTACACACTTAATAATGTCTTTAATGTGTATACACTAATGTTGACTAAAACGTAGCTGAACTCGATATATTATATTATTATACAAATTGTCATATTATATTGCCATATTATTACAAATACCGACGAGATAAACAAAATTAAGTACTTATAAGGTTTAAGTTACTTTGAGAAAACAGTGCTGCCACCCTTCAACGACATAATTTAGAGAAAATAACAGTTCCGTCGATATTAGCGGTTCCTGCACGTCTGTTTGTATGCAATGCTGTAAATACAATCAGATTCAGCTAATATTGAATATTGCTTGCACTTGTTGCCAAATCTTCAGTTATCATACTTTGCCTGAGCTCTTTATGCCTTTCCACAAGGCGAAGTAGACGAGCACAAACACCCCCATCAGGCACAGGGTAATGGTGTACTTCAATCCCCCCAGATTCCCGATACCGTCAGCGAACTGAAGTTCAAGGACCTCTCGCCTGAAAAAACAACGAGAGAGTGAGTGAGTGGATTTGTGTTTGAGTGAATGAGTGGATTCGTGAGTGGGTGAGTGGATCCGTGAGTGAGTGAATGAGTGGATCCGTGAGTGGGTGAATGGGTTGATTCATGAGTGCCGGTGCCAGTGAATTAGTGAGTTAGTGAGTTAGTGCGTGAGTTTTGAATAAAGAGAAGAAATATTACCCGTTTTTTAAATAACGAAATACGGCGAATGGCGTAATTGTAAAATATTCTGGATGCCAGTAAACGGTAGATTTTGCAGTTATGAAGAATTACGATACCTCTCAGAATTTCGCGGTTTCTGTGTTGCGGGCCATATATACCCTGTATACATGTGTATAAAACGATGGTGTGTATATTTATATGAATATAATGAAAAATATATCCGTTTTGTACATCAAACAACATCCATCCCATTTCGTGACCCTTAGGATTGTAAACAGGAAACAATAACCAACAAAGAAAAGTTAATAAACGGGATCACTTGATTGGCAAACGCAATACGGAGAGTGTCATTACATCAATTTCAAAATGATAGAATTGACGTCATATATGTAAATATGAGTTATGTGCCATATATCACACAAGCTGCCACTTGATAAAGGGGTGGTGGGGTAGCCTAGTGGTTAAAGCGTTCGCTCACCCGGGTTCGATTCCCCACATGAGTACAATGTGTGAAGCCCATTTCTGGTGTCCCCCGCCGTGATGTTGCTGGAATATTGCTAAAAGCGGCGTATTCACTCACTTGAAAGAGATTCTCCTCAATCCAACATATACTGTGTGAAAATGTCTCAAACCACTGCATAAATAAAAGAACGAGTACTATTTTATGCCGCTTTCAGCACTATTTAGACTAAACGATCCAGCGATTCAACCATTTATCAATCCAACAGTCCCACGACAGACATTTCAAACAGCAGAATGTATTTGTTATAACGTTCACTTTGTTTAAATGTTAAAACGCTTATAGTGCAAATGGATAGTTCTCTGTGTCTTGTGTCAAGCATTGTTAAGCATCGTCCTTCAAGTCCTCCATGCTCTGCGGTCGACTTTGTATCCAGCTGTTTACGGTGTCCGCTATAAAGGACTCCCACATCCTGTCATTATATCCATTAGCACGTGTCTTTGATGTTGGTTATATACAATGTACACGTCCTGACCGGATTGTGTAGCTGATACAGATGCTGGGGATGCTGGAAGGGCCTCCAGAAAGAACTCATCGCTTGAGGAAATATACCATAGTAACAAGGTAAATAGGACAAGATGGTCAACGCGTGTTGACACTTTTAGAACAACCAACCTTTGTCCGGGTCTACTTTGAAACACGAAGCTATTTCTGTTGTTCATTATACTCTGTGTGAATTACGATAGCGTTTGTAAAGAATGAGATTGTATTCATTCATACATTGTTTGGTGGCAAATTTTATATCAATATCTACCGGACTTATTCTGGCATAAAATAGGACAGAACATCACTTGTAACATAACAAGGTTATTAGACTTCGTTGTAAACTATTGTTATCCTCAGTTCTAAAACTTAAAAATATACCTTTTGGGAAATACCTGACATGGTAATGAAATATCAGTGGGATCAAGATTTAAAAGAACAACTTCAATTTATAATTTTGTCTGATAGGTTCAGACATGACGTGTCAAGACGTCATCTCACACCTTCCTACCCAGAGTTCTTTGCGGTCAACCATGTACCTCTGCCATAATCCATTCAACGAACTGTATATATCTTTATCAATTTCATTTTTAGAAATCTACACATTAAGATGAACTTATTTGCTTTCAGTTAGTGAATCGTGAAAGATGTTATTGGCATATATTTCGTTTGTCATAATGGTTTTAAGGTAGCCTGGCAAACAGAGGCGGTGCGGATAGGCATCAATCTCATTTCGATGTGAGCAGATATATTGGCACTACAATCCACAAGCACATTCTAGGGAAACACCTCAACACCAGAATAGCAAGTCGTCATGTAACCCTCAGAGATAATAATAATAATAATAATAATGTGTCCATTTATATAGCGCCAAACTCCACACTAGGTATGCTCATAGCGCTAACAATCAAGGCCATTATTACCCCGGATAACCCAAGCTGCCTGTTAGGCGCTAGAAGGTTATAGTCATATGACTTTTTTCCACCGGGTACCCATTTTCCTGCTGGGTGAACAGAGACGATTTTGAACAAACTCACTTGCCTAAGGTGAGACCACATGTGTCACATGTGCTTCGTTGTGGGGCAGGACTAAAGTCCTAGAAACTCTCAGGAGTCAAGCTGCCAAACACGGTCACCCATCCAAGGATTCTCCGAGCTCGACGCTGCTTAACTTCACCGATTTGTGACCTGAGCTTTAAGCACAGGACCACGCGCCACCACAAGTGGAGATCCTCCACACCAGAGTAGCATGTCGTCATGTAACCCTCGATCCTCCACCCACACCATGTAACCCTCGGAGCCACACCAGAGTAGCAAGTTGTCATGTAACCCTCGGAGATCCTCCACACCAGAGTAGCAGGTTGTCATGTAACCCTCGGAGATCCTCCACACCAGAGTAGCATGTCGTCATGTAACCCTCGGAGATCCTCCACACCAGCAGTAGTCATGTAACCCTCGTCCTCCATCGTCATGTAACCCTCGGAGATCCTCCACACCAGAGTAGCAAGTTGTCATGTAACCCTCGGAGATCCTCCACACCAGAGTAGCAAGTCGTCATGTAACCCTCGGAGATCCTCCACACCAGAGTAGGAGGTCGTCATGTAACCCTCGGAGATCCTCCACACCAGAGTAGCAGGTTGTCATGTAAACCTCGGAGATCCTCCACACCAGAGTAGCATGTCGTCATGTAACCCTCGGAGAACCTCCACACCAGAGTAGCATGTCGTCATGTAACCCTCGGAGATCCTCCACACCAGAGTAGCAAGTCGTCATGTAACCCTCGGAGATCCTCCACACCAGAATAGCAAGTCGTCATGTAACCCTCGGAGATCCTCCACACCAGAATAGCAAGTCGTCATGTAACCCTCGGAGATCCTCCACACCAGAGCAGCAAGTCGTCATGTAAACCTCGGAGATCCTCCACACCACAGCAGCAAGTCGTCATGTAAACCTCGGAGATCGGAGATCCTCCACCTTGGAGATCATTCACAGCAGCAAGTCGTCATGTAAACCCTCGGAGATCCTCCACACCACAGCAGCAAGTCGTCATGTAACCCTCGGAGATCCTCCACACCAGAGCAGCAAGTCGTCATGTAAACCTCGGAGATCCTCCACACCACAGCAGCAAGTCGTCATGTAAACCTCGGAGATCCTCCACACCACAGCAAGTCACGTAATAGATCACACCACAGCAGTCGTCATGTAACCCTCGGAGATCCTCCACACCACAGCAGCAAGTCGTCATGTAAACCTCTCTTCAACACCACAGAGATCCACGTCCTTTGGAGATCCTCCACCCACAGCAGCAAGTCGTCACGTAAACCTCGGAGCTCCAACCACAGCAGCAAGTCGTCATGTAAACCTCCTCCACACCACAGAGATCCATCCCTCCCACCACACCACAGCAGCAAGTCGCCACGTAAACCTCGGAGATCGCCACCACCACAGTAACACGTCGTCACTTGAAGCTCGGAGATCCCAAAACCCAGGGGCGGATACAGCTTTTTGAGGAGGGGAGTGGAGCGTGAACGATTTGTATAATGCTTCATGTATGTATGCATGCGATGAAGTAGTTATGCTGAATTTTGGTCGCAGATGATGTAATGATAACACAGATAAACATAAACGCAAAAAACTTATTTCATAAGGAATTAGGGAGAAAGAGGTGGCGGGTAGGGGGCGCACCCACCCTCTCAAACCCAATTGTTCATGACCTTATCCCTGTCCTGCCCCGTGGACCATGGATTATTTCGGAACATAAAAAAAAATCTATGTCTTAAATGAATTGTCGTTATATAATTCAATCATTGAATGGTTGTTACAAATGGTTAAGCACGTTTCCACATTATTAAACAAACACTTTTGTTCGACTTTTGTTGACTTTGAAGGTGAGGCATCGCTGGAGCAAGTAATACATATATGAGAAAACCTACTCAAAAAATTCTGTTGACGCAGCGCTTGCCCAATCATCAGACTTGAGGGCACACAAAGAAGCATTGGTGCTGTTGCAGGCGATGATGCGGTCGTTGAAGGTGGTACAGTTGGGCGTGTTCCACGTGTTGTTGCAGCTCAACCACGGAACTTCTGACCGGAAGGAATAGAAGAAGAAGTACACCGCCCACGCTATTATGGTGTTGTAGTACCAGGATACAAAGAAGGCGATGACACAGATTGACAGCCCGATACCTGCAGTCATAAAGTACAAATTGTCAATAAAATACCTGCAGTCATAATTAAAGGAAAACTTGTTAACAAAATAATATATGTGTCTTTCTAATGGATAAAAGGACTTTCACCGGTGAACACTCAATAGCGTATACTTCAAAGGTTTGAAGCGAGTAATCAAATATTTTGTACTTCACTTTACGATAGTATCACTACATCTACAACCAGTATATATGTACCACCGACCAGTAGATGTGTACCACCGACCAGGAGCTATGTACCATCGACCAGGAGCTATGTACCAGCGACCAGTAGATGTGTACCAGCGACCAGGAGCTATCTACCAGCGACTAGTAGATATGTTCCAGCGACCAGTAGATGTGTACCACCGACCAGGAGCTATGTACCAGCGACCAGGAGCTATGTTCCAGCGACCAGTAGATGTGTACCAGCGACCAGGAGCTATGTTCCAGCGACCAATAGATGTGTACCAGCGATCAGGAGATATGTACCAGCGATCAGGAGCTATGTACCAGCGACCAGTAGATATGTACCAACGACCAGTAGATGTGTACCAAAGACAAGTAGATGTGTACCACACACAAGTAGATGTGTACCAAAGACAAGTAGATGTGTACAAGTGACCAGGAGCTATGTACCAGCGACCAATAGATGTGTACCAGCGACCAGTAGATGTGTATCAAACACAAGTAGATGTGTACCAAAGACAAGTAAATGTGTACCAGCGACCAGTAGATGTGTACAAGTGAGCAGTAGATATGTACCAGCCACCAGTAGATATGTACCAGGCACCAGTGGATGTGTACGAGCCTCCAGTAGATGTGCACCAAAGACAAGTAGATGTGTACCAAAGACAAGTAGATGTCTACCAAAGACAAGTAGATGTGTACCAAAGACAAGTAGATGTGTACCAAAGACAAGTAGATGTGTACCAAACAGGATGTGTACCAAATAGATGTGTACAAGCGACCAGTAGATATGTACCAAAGACAAGTAAATGTGTACCAAAGACAAGTAGATGTGTACCAAAGACAAGTAGATGTGTACCAAAGACAAGTAGATGTGTACCAAAGACAAGTAGATGTGTACCAAAGACAAGTAGATGTGTACCAGCGACCAGTAGATATGTACCAGTCACCAGTACAAGTTTACCAGCCTCCAGTAGATGTGTACCAAACACAAGTAGATGTGTACCGGCGACTACGAGACATATACCAACCACCAGTAGTTGTGTATAAGTGACCAGTAGATATGTACCAGCCACCAGTAGATGTGTACCAGCCACCAGTAGATATGCACCAGCCTCCAGTAGATATGTACCATCCACCAGTAGATGTGTACCATCCACCAGTAGATATGTACCATCCACCAATAGATGTGTACCAGCCACCAGTAGATGTGTACCATCCACCAATAGATGACTAAGAGACATAAACCAGCGACCAGTAGATATGTTCCAGCGACCAGTAGATGTGTACCAGCGATCAGGAGATATGTACCAGCGATCAGGAGCTATGTACCAGCGACCAGGAGCTATGTACCAGCGACCAGTAGATATGTACCAACGACCAGTAGATATGTTCCAGCGACCAGTAGATGTGTACCACCGACCAGGAGCTATGTACCAGCGACCAGGAGCATGTTCTAGCGACCAGTAGATGTGTACCAGCGACCAGGAGCTATGTTCCAGCGACCAATAGATGTGTACCAGCGATCAGGAGATATGTACCAGCGATCAGGAGCTATGTACCAGCGACCAGGAGCTATGTACCAGCGACCAGTAGATATGTACCAACGACCAGTAGATGTGTACCAAAGACAAGTAGATGTGTACCACACACAAGTAGATGTGTACCAAAGACAAGTAGATGTGTACAAGTGACCAGGAGCTATGTACCAGCGACCAATAGATGTGTACCAGCGACCAGTAGATGTGTATCAAACACAAGTAGATGTGTACCAAAGACAAGTAAATGTGTACCAGCGACCAGTAGATGTGTACAAGTGAGCAGTAGATATGTACCAGCCACCAGTGGATGTGTACCAAAGACCAGTGCCTCCAGTAGATGTGCACCAAAGACAAGTAGATGTGTACCAAAGACAAGTAGATGTCTACCAAAGACAAGTAGATGTGTACCAAAGACAAGTAGATGTGTACCAAAGACAAGTAGATGTGTACCAAAGACAAGTAGATGTGTACCAAACAGGTAGATGTGTACCAGCGACCAGTAGATATGTACCAAAGACAAGTAAATGTGTACCAAAGACAAGTAGATGTGTACCAAAGACAAGTAGATGTGTACCAAAGCCAAGTACATGTGTACCAAAGACAAGTAGATGTGTACCAAAGACAAGTAGATGTGTACCAGCGACCAGTAGATATGTACCAGTCACCAGTACAAGTTTACCAGCCTCCAGTAGATGTGTACCAAACACAAGTAGATGTGTACCGGCGACTACGAGACATATACCAACCACCAGTAGTTGTGTATAAGTGACCAGTAGATATGTACCAGCCACCAGTAGATGTGTACCAGCCACCAGTAGATATGCACCAGCCTCCAGTAGATATGTACCATCCACCAGTAGATGTGTACCATCCACCAGTAGATATGTACCATCCACCAATAGATGTGTACCAGCCACCAGTAGATGTGTACCATCCACCAATAGATGACTAAGAGACATAAACCAGCGACCAGTAGATATGTTCCAGCGACCAGTAGATGTGTACCAGCGATCAGATATGTAGCAGCATGTGTACCAGCGACCAGTAGATATGTACCAACGACCAGTAGATGTGTACCAAAGACAAGTAGATGTGTACCACACACAAGTAGATGTGTACCAAAGACAAGTAGATGTGTACAAGTGACCAGGAGCTATGTACCAGCGACCAATAGATGTGTACCAGCGACCAGTAGATGTGTATCAAACACAAATAGATGTGTACCAAAGACAAGTAGATGTGTACTAGCGACCAGTAGATGTGTACAAGTGAGCAGTAGATATGTACCAGGCACCAGTAGATGTGTACCAGCCACCAGTAGATGTGTACCAAAGACAAGTAGATGTGTACCAAAGACAAGTAGATGCGTACCAAAGACACAAGTAGATGTGTACCAAAGACAAGTAGATGTGTACCAGCCACCAGTAGATATGCACCAAAGACAAGTAGATGTGTACCAAAGACACGTAGATGTGTACCAAAGACAAGTAGATGTGTACCAACCAGACAAGTAGATGTGTACCAGTGACCAGTAGATGTGTACCAAAGACAAGTAGATGTGTACCACACACAAGTAGATGTGTACCAAAGACAAGTAGATGTGTACAAGTGACCAGGAGCTATGTACCAGCGACCAATAGATGTGTACCAGCGACAAGTAGATGTGTATCAAACACAAGTAGATGTGTACCAAAGAGAAGTAAATGTGTACTAGCGACCAGTAGATGTGTACAAGTGAGATAGTAGATATGTACCAGCCACCAGTAGATATGTACCAGGCACCAGTGGATGTGTACCAGCCACCAGTAGATGTGCACCAAAGACAAGTAAATGTGTACCAAAGACAAGTAGATGTGTACCAGCCACCAGTAGATATGCACCAAAGACAAGTAGATGTGTACCAAAGGCAAGTAGATGTGTACCAAAGACAAGTAGATGTGTACCAAAGACAAGAAGATGTGTACCAAAGACAAGTAGATGTGTACCAGCGACCAGTAGATATGTTCCAGCGACCAGTAGATGTGTACCAGCGATCAGGAGATATGTACCAGCGATCAGGAGCTATGTACCAGCGACCAGGAGCTATGTACCAGCGACCAGTAGATATGTACCAACGACCAATAGATGTGTACCAGCGACCAGTAGATGTGTACCAAACACAAGTAGATGTGTACCAGAGACCAGTAGATATGTACCATCCACCAGGAGCTATGTACCAGCGACCAATAGATGTGTACCAGTAGATGTGTATCAAACACAAGTAGATGTGTACCAAAGACAAGTAAATGTGTACCAGCGACCAGTAGATGTGTACAAGTGAGCAGTAGATATGTACCAGCCACCAGTAGATATGTACCAGGCACCAGTGGATGTGTACGAGCCTCCAGTAGATGTGCACCAAAGACAAGTAGATGTGTACCAAAGACAAGTAGATGTGTACCAAAGACAAGTAGATGTGTACCAAAGACAAGTAGATGTGTACCAAAGACAAGTAGATGTGTACCAAAGACAAGTACATGTGTACCAAAGACAAGTAGATGTGTACCAAAGACAAGTAGATGTGTACCAAAGACAAGTAGATGTGTACCAGCGACCAGTAGATATGTACCAGTCACCAGTACAAGTTTACCAGCCTCCAGTAGATGTGTACCAAACACAAGTAGATGTGTACCGGCGACTACGAGACATATACCAACCACCAGTAGTTGTGTATAAGTGACCAGTAGATATGGACCAGCCACCAGTAGATGAGTACCAGCCACCAGTAGATTTGTACCAGCCACCAGTAGATGTGTACCATCCACCAATAGATGTGTACCAGCCTCCAGTAGATATGTACCAGCCACCAGTAGATATGTGTCAGCGATTAAGAGACATAAACTAGCGACCTGTAGATGTGTACCAGCCACCGTCAGATATGTGCCATCCAGTAGTAGATATGTTACATCCACCAGTAGATATGTACCAACGACCAGTAGATATGTACCATCTACCATTAGATATTTCACCAGCGACTAAGAGACATATACTACCCACCAGTTGATATGTACAACCCACCAGTTGATCTGTACCAGTGACCAGTAGATATGTACCAGTGACCAATGGATGTGTATACGCGAACAGTATGTATGTACCAGGGAACAGTAGATATGTACCAGCCATCAGTATATCTGTACCAGGGAACAATATATATGTACCAGGGAACAGCAGATATGTACCAGGAAACAGTATATGTGTACCAGCAGCCAGTAGATGTGTATCAGCGACCAAT